CGCCGGAGGACGGGTCCGCGGCACTCGAGCCAGGCGGCGGAAGAGGAGGTGCGCGACGCGCCCGCGGGCCCCGACGAGGGCGCCGGAGGGGACGCGCCGACCCCGGATCCGGACAAGGACGGAGACGCCGAGGTGGGCAGCCACCGGGAGCTGAGGTAACGTTGTGCCTGACCCCTAATTTCTGGGCGCCCGCCCCAGCGCGACCCTCCCGGGTCCCCCAGGAGTGGCGGGAGCCGCGCGTGCTCCGAGGCCGAGAACCTCATCCCGGACTTCGCTGGGACCGCGTGTCCCGCGGGTCCCTGCGGGGAAACTGAGGCTCAGGGTAGGGTGACTTGCCAGGCTCCCTCAGGCGGGGGCGCGGGGCTGAGGGGAGCCTGGTGGCAGCCCCACCTCCAGATCCCCCTGTCTGTGCATCCTCGGGTGTGCGACGGGGCTCCTCCTGGCGCCTTGGTGGGCTGGTTCGGCGCCCTGAAGAAGTCTCTGCTGTCTGGCAAGAGAGAGATGGGATTGGGGTCCCTTCTGAGAGCTAGGAGGAGTGCCTTGAGGGGTAGGGAAGGCTCCCAGAGGACAGCAGGCAGGTGGGGAGGGGGCCAGCAGGAGCCTGGGACTGTGTATGAGGAGCCATGGTGTCTGTTTCTGCTCAGGGTGAGCGGCAGTGTGGAAAAAGAGGTTCTCCTTCCTGCAGAGCCTCCCGAGGGTGGTCTTCACAGGGATCCCTTCCTTTCCTGTCTCGGACCCCCGCATGGAGTGGCTGGCCAGCCAGGGCCCTGCTCATGCGACAGAAAGACAGAGTTGGGTCTGGTAGCAGGACTCTTGTCCCTTGGCTGTGGTACAGGAGAGGGAGGGGCTTGGAGTGGACATCTTGCAGGTGGGTGCTGTGCTTAGCTGATGACAGACAAGAGCAGCTAGGGGTGCCAGCCTAGGCATCGGCTCTCTCCTCCAAGCTGGCCCCTGTTGTCCCTTCGCCCCCCTCAGGCCCCCTTCTGCCCTTAAGCCTGGCCTAGGGGCCCTTGAGGCTCTGGTCGGGGAGCAGTTGAAGGGATAGAGGTTATCAAGGAGGAAGTGGGTGGTTGGTCAATCGGTTGGCAAGAATTTCTTCTCTGAGTAAGCAAGAACTGAGGCTTTCTTCACGAGACACTGTGGGCGGTGCTTGTGGGGTACACCCCGGTGCCAGGGTGCAGGCATTGCCCCTGTCCTCGGGGTGCTCACAGTCCACCTGGGAGATAAGATAGCCTGAGAGTTAGGCAGGTGGAGGAGGGAGCAGTGTGACCAAAGGTCGGGGGTGCCTTGGGGCCAGAGACGTGGCTCTCCCCAGAGGGGGTTTCCTTCCTGTGGACCAGCGCTAGGGGTGCTGAGGGGGCTGGCCCAGCACCTCCTGTCTGGAACGGAGGTTCCTGGCATTCACCTCTGCTAACTAGCCAAGTTCTGTCCTGGAGGCAGGGGGTGGGCTAGTGTGACCTCTGATGGGGATGGGAATTGGGGTTCTTTGTGTGAGATGGGGGGTCCCAACTTTGGGCAGAACTGACCCCTGGGAGAGGTAGGCAGAGCAGTCACTTTCCTGCTTTGCTCTGACCAGATGGCCAGCAGGCCTCTTCTGTGCTCCTGCTGGCATGGGGCTGGGGTGAGGCCAGGACTGGGGTGCCCTGGGGAGGCCACGGTGGTCTGGACCTGCTGAGGTTCTGGAGACGTGCCAGCTCCGTGTGCTTGTCCCTCAAGCCTCTCTTTGGCTCCCCTCCTGGTGTGCCCAAGCCACTGCCTTCTCATCAGCCCTCCCCTACCTGCCCCCTGGCCCTTCCTCATGATTCCCTGCGCTGGGCCTCCTCCCCTCCCCCAGACTTCCTGCTCACTTTGGGCTGGACAGGGGTTCAGCCTCCGAGTGTTAGCTCCTTTCTTCCGGCTGTGGCAAAGTGAGGCTGTGGGGCAGAACCAAGGGGACTCCTTTCTGCTCGGCCCCGCGGCCCACCCCTTCCAGGCTCTCTGCACCATCCTCTGTGCCCAGTACCCCTGCAGGCCCTCGGACGTGGCCTCCGGGCAGGGCCTTCCGGGATGTTTGTCCCAGGGCATCCTCTGTCTACCTGTGGCCCGGAGGCTGTCAGGGAGGAAATGTCCAGGAGGCAGCTGCTGGGAGGGAAGCTGGACTCTGCCTGCCTCTATGGTGTGCTGCACCCTGGCCCTGAGTGTCTCGTCTTCACACTTGGGCAGGCTTCGAACCTTGACGAGCCTCTGTGTGCCCTGGTGTGCGTGGGGACAGTTACGCCTGCTCACGGTGTTGGCTTGGAATCAGATGAGATGACGCCTGGTGGTCTAGGAGCTGCATCATGAGGGCAGTCCTGACCTGTCCTCTGGGCCAGGCCCTGTAGGAGGTGGAGTCTGGGAGTGGGTGGGGGACGCTGGCAGGCCCTCTGGTGGGGGAGAGGGTGGCAGTGATGGCTCTGGCAAGCTGGCTGGATTGGCTGCCCCATGCTGGCATCCTCACCTGCTGCCCTCTGTTCCACTTGCCGCTGACCACAAAGCAGGGTGGGCCTCTGGACCTAGCAGGAAGTGGGCTTCCTCCTGGGCAGGGGAGCCCTCACCTGTGGGTGTGGGAGTGGCCAGGAGGCCTGTGGAGGCCACCCCAGAAGGGTGGGCGGGTGGGGGAAGGCCTCAAGAGCCCGCCTCAAGGTCTTACACAGATGGTAGTCTGGGGATCTCAAAGGAGGGAGGGATCTGCCAAAGCTTTCATGACATCATCTGATGTCAGATTTGCTGTCACCTTTGAGACTGCCACGGATAAAGCCAGCATGGCCTGGTGGCCCAGGGGGCAGCGGTCACCAGTTGTGATGCAGTCCTTGGGTGTGTGAGCCGTGTGAGCCCGAGGAGGCCAGCCAGGGTCTTGGGGTATAGTTCTGGTGGGCACGAATGGGCTTGAACTTGGGGGAGGGGGCAGTGGGGATGAAAGATAAGGGACGGCGGCAAAGGCTGGGCCCAGGGCAGGTCCAGGGAGACCATCCTCACAGGACAGGTGGACCTGGCATGTGCTCGCCTCCAGGTGCTGGTGGCAGGCGTAGACCTAGCCTTCTGCTTGTATTGGGAAGGGCACCCAGGCGACTTCTGCCTCCTGAGCAGGGCGGGAGGCCGTGCTGAGGGCCAGTGGTCATTTGGAGATGCAGCTCCAGAGGGAGAGGGAGGATACAGGTTCAGGGTGGGGCTCATCTGGTCCAGGTGGAGGTTACAGCCCCACTGTGTGGCCCAGGACACGCCCAGGGGAGGGAGCAAGGAAGAGGCCCGGAGGAGCTGCCCCAGGCTGGTGCTTAGCTGCCTGCCAGCACATGGCGCTGGGGGCCAGGCCAGGGTGGCGTGGGCCAGGCAAGGTGGCAGACCTTGACCTGGGGAAGCAAAGGTCGGCCTGTTGCCGCCACCCTGGCCAGTGCTTGGGGAAGCGGCCCCTCCTGGGGCCCAGTGCTCACCTCCAGCAGTTGCCTCTGGCACACTGAGCCCCTCCCCGGCGCTCCTGCCCCATGCCCCCAGCGCCCCCGGCGTCCTGCAGTGTCTCCTGCCCCGTGCCCCTAATGTCCCCCAGTGCCTGCTGCCCCGTGCCCCTAATGTCCTCCAGCGTCTCCTGCCCCGTGCCCCTAATGTCCTCCAGCACCTGCTGCCCCGTGCCCCTAATGTCCCCCAGTGCCTGCTGCCCCGTGCCCCTAATGTCCCCCAGTGTCTCCTGTCCCGTGCCCCTAATGTCCCCCAGGGTCTCCTGCCCCGTGCCCCTAATGTCCCCCAGTGTCTGCTGCCCTGTGCCTCTAATGTGGTCGGATTTGTTCTCCAGGGGGGTTTCTTGGCCCCGGAAGAACACAGCGCCTACCCTTGAGTTAACAGGGCCAGGCTGTGATTTTTCGAAAACAACTTGAGAAAAACAAGGAGGCCAGAGGCCCGAGCTTGAGGGCCAGGCCCCACCCAGGGAGATGTTGGTCAGGCCAGGGCTCAGGCCTGGGTTCCTTCCCCACACGACTTTCATGGCCAGTGAGGGGACGGAGGTGCGGCTGGGTGTAGGGTTCTGCAGGGTGCCGGGATGAGCAGCTGAGCAAGGCAGACCTCAGTGCCGTGCCCTGCGCCCTGTGGACCCCCAGAGTGGACTCTTACGGCTCTAGCACCACCGTGTAGCCAGGGCATGGCAGCAGCCAGAGGCCCTGGGGACAATGCTGGGGATCCGGGTCTAGGAGTGCCCACCCCACGAAGCTGGGCCCCTCCTGCAGCCCCAGGGGCAGGCCTGTGGGTGGTCCTGGAAGCTCTGCCCGCTGTAGGCCAAGTGGCCCTCCTCCATCACATACCGCTGTCTTCTTCCGGCTGTAAGTGGGGCCCTGGGTGTGTGGGGCAGAGAGCATTTAGGGCGAGTGTGTGTACCAGGACTGGTAGGTACAGAACAAAGGGCTCAGCCCAGATGGAGGGGCTGGGCTTCGCCTCCCTCTGGCCGCATCTTCCGATTCCTGCCAGTGAGCCCTGGGGCTTGGCGGTGGCCACAGGTGCTGTGGCCCTGTCCTGGCTCCCTGCAGAGGTCGTCACTGCCTGGTGTCAGGGCAGCGCAGAGGGCCCAGGTGGCCGGCTGCCTGCTCTGCTCGTGCCCCTCACCAGGTGTCTTCTGCCCTGCCAGCTGTCACCGCCTGCAGGAGTCCTTGTTCAGCTCTGACAGTGGCTTCAGCAACTACCGTGGCATCCTTAACTGGTGTGTGGTGATGCTGGTGAGTGGGGCTCCACTGGCCGCACGGCTGGCCGCCTGTCCTGGGCTCTGTCAAGGCGCTAGTGGGGTTGGGGTGCGGGCTGCAGGAGCAGGTGCAGGGCTGGTGGGGGAGGACTCAGCAGCTGTCTCTGCAGCAGTCACAAGCGGGCTCCGTGGGCCAACACATAGTGTGCCTTCTCCTTGAACCCAACAGCCCCAAGGGCGGTGGGGCCGCTGACTGGGCGTTGGGGGCTTGCCCGAGGCTGGGGCAGTGGCAATGGGACAAAAAGCCTTTGTGCTGTAAGCTGGGCCTACAGGGCACAGGGCATCCTCCAGGGGCTTTGCCAGGTGGGCATGAGCCCCTGGGGAAGGGCTGACCTGGAACAAGGACAGGGAGGGGACAGGCTGGGCAACCACTGGGCTGGTGGCCCTGGGCTGGGGAGGGCCATGGGGCTGTGGCTGGGGGCATGTGGTGGGTACAAGGCCTCCCTGGCAAGGTGTCCAAGGGGCGTCCGAGGGGCCCTTGTGGGCATGGCTGGGGCCCAGTTGGCCAGTGGGGGAGAGCAGAGCTGAGGGGATGGCTAGGCCGCCCAGGCCCCAGCCCCCACCCCCCAGCCTGGCTCTAGGAGGCCCCCAGTAAGGTGAGTGGGCAGCGCCCCGGCCTTACCCTGTGGCCCGTGCACCATGGTGAGTGTCTTGGAGAGGGGCCCAGTGCCTCTTGGCAGGTGGCCTCTTTCAGGCTGGCCCTTGGTGGGGCCATGGTGCCGCCCTGCCCTGGAAGCAGTTGGCATGAAGGCCTCTCTGGGCCAACCCTCAGCTGCTCAGGGCTGATCTGGCCTGTGGTCCTGAGCCCTGCCCAGATGTGTCGCATCTGCTCTCAGACGGGCGGGGTGCCTATGGCTGCCTGTGGGGAAGGGGCTGTATACACCCCAGCCCACCTACAGTCTCAGCCAGCTGTGGTGGGGGCCACACAGCCTGGTGGGGTGAAGCAGGGGGCAGTGATGTGTCCTTGGCCCTCCAGAGGCCATTCTTGGCCCTGGGGTAGTTCTGTCAGGAGGCAGCGGGGCCCGGGGAGGCCCTGTTGCTAGCCCTAGGCAGCACTGTCTGCCCCCCGGCGGCCCTGTGGGCTGGCCTGGCCCTTCCCTTCCGCATGGCCACTGTGTCCCTGTGGAAGACTGCGGTCTGCGTGCTGGGCTTCTGCTGCCCCACAGTGGCCTGGGCCTCAAGGTGGGCACTGTGGGTGCTACCATTGGCAGCTCTGGCTGCTGCCTGCCGTGGGTCCTGACAGGACAGGCCACTACCAGGTGGTGACTGTGGGCCCACGTGTGTGTCTGGCAGAGGCGGGCGGAGCAGCCCTGCAGTTGGCCTTGCATCTTCTTATGCTGCCTTCCTTGGGACCCCAGTGAGGGTCACCCACCAGTGACCCCTTGCCAGTGCTGCCCGTCACAGTACTCATCATGGGCTGGGCTCTGGGGGGTTAGGCAGACTCACAGGTGCCAGAGGTGCTCGTGGGCTGGTGAGGAGGTCTGTGTCCCCGCAGAGGTCAGGCACCCCTAGCCCCAGGCTGGAATCAGGATCCATTTTGGTCAAGGGCTCAGGTCCTTGGAAGCTGCTTCAGGGCCAGGTGACTGGGGTGTGGGTGCTGCTGGCAGCAGCTGAGGCAGGGCAGGGTACACGAGCGGCCCTCCATCCCTCCGCCTGGTCCCTCCGCTGTCCCCCAGCGCGTGGGCTCCTTTGCCGCAGCCTCTTGCCCTGATCATGCTGTCCCACCTCTGCCCAGTGTTCAGGGCCTGGGGCAAGAGAGCTACCCTCCCACTCCTCAGCTTGTGCCACCGGGAGTGACTGTCCCCTGGTGCACTGCTTCCCTGGGGGCAGGCTTGGGTTTTGTGGCTATATGCCTTCACCAGTTTAGGGGCAGATGAGGGCTTCAGAGCAACTCGTGGGTGCCAGTGCTAGGGCTGTCCACTCCGTGGCGGGCCCCTTCTGATGGGCAGAATGACAGTGACCTCTGTTTGCTCCAGCACTGACGTGGGGAGAGGCCGGTGGCCAGCCAGCAGGGGCTCCTCTGGCAGGACTGGGGCAGCACCGCCCTGTCCCTGGCTTTACCCCCCAAGTGCTGGGAGTGCTGCGGTGGGGGTGCCCCTTGGCCAGGGCTAATGGGGCTGTGACTCCTGCCCTCTCTCTCTTGCAGATCTTGAGCAACGCCCGGTTGTTTTTGGAGAACCTCATCAAGTGAGTCCCTCCCAGCCCCTCCCCGTGTGTTCTGCCCCAGGCAGGCCCCACCCACTGTGGCCACGGCCACACTACTCAGGCCCCACCCTCCACCCCTCCACCGCCCAGATACGGCATCCTGGTGGATCCCATCCAGGTGGTGTCTCTATTCCTGAAGGACCCCTACAGCTGGCCCGCCCTGTGCCTGGTTATTGGTGAGCTGGGCACTGGGGAGGGGCTTAGGGTGGGGCGGTCGGACACTCTGGTCTTGAACCTGCCCTTGGCGTTTCTGTCCCCAGCGGCCAACGTCTTTGCTCTGGCCGGGTTCCAGGTTGAGAAACGTTTGGCGGTGGTAAGCAATGCCCCTCGCCCGCCTGCCATGGTCCCCACTTGGTTGTCCAGCTGTCCCCACCAATGCGGGGACTCCAAGCCAGGACTGCATCCACCCTTCCCTCGGAGGCCCCCAGGGGACTGGGTGCCCTGGCTGAGCTCCTGCCCCCTCCCTGCCGCAGGGGGCCCTGACGGAACGGGCGGGGCTGCTGCTGCACGTGGCCAACTTGGCCACCATTCTCTGCCTGCCAGCGGCGGTGGCCTGCCTGGTGGAGTCCATCACTCCAGGTGCGCCCCCTCCCCCTCCCTCCCGGTCCTGGCCCGTCCTGAAGGTCCCCAGGAGAGCCCTGGCCACGCTGGCTCCTTTGTCAGGGCTGGGGCTCCCTGGGGGGCTGAGGGGGAAGGGCCGCGCATCGAGGCCGCCTCTCTCCTGCAGTGGGCGCCGTGTTGGCGCTGTCCGTGTACACCGTCCTCTCTCCTGCAGTGGGCGCCGTGTTGGCGCTGTCCGTGTACACCGTCCTCTTCCTTAAGCTTTTCTCTTACCGCGACGTGAACCTGTGGTGCCGTGAGCTCAGGGCCGCGGCCAAGGCCGGTGAGAGGCGCCCGGGGGCTGGGGCCCGCATGGCCAAGCCCAGCCCGAGGGCCCTGCTCGGGGCCTCTGCAGACAAGGCCAACGGGGCTGCAGCACAGCGCTGGGTGAGCTACCCCGACAACCTGACCTACGGAGGTGAGCGCCCGGGGGCGGGGCCTGGGGGAGGCGGGATCAAGAGGAAGGCGGGGCCCGGAGGAAGGTGGGGCCTCTAGGGGCGGGGTCAAGCGGGAGGTGGGCTCGGGGGTGGAGCTAAGAGGCAGGTGGGCGCGGAGGGGCGGGGCTGAGAGGAAGGCCCGCCTCGCTGAGCGGCAAGGATAGGAGGCGGCAGCCGGAAGGTCCAGGACCGTGTCGGTGGGTTCCGGTGCCAGCCCGCCTATCCGCCTTTCAGATCTGTACTACTTTCTCTTTGCCCCCACCCTGTGTTACGAGCTCAACTTTCCCCGCTCTCCCCGGATCCGGAAGCGCTTCCTGCTGCGGCGGCTCCTAGAGATGGTGAGGCGGGGCTGCGGGAGGCTGGACAGGCGCCCGGCAGGCGCTCAGCCGGCCTGCAGCTCAGGCGGCTGCTCTGCTTCCCTCCGCAGCTGTTCTTCACGCAGCTCCAGGTGGGGCTGATCCAGCAGGTACGGGGCGGGACGGGGCGGTGGAGAGGGGGCGGCGCGGGGGCGAGGGCGCGCTGTGCGGGCTGACGCCGTGTCCCTCCTCCGCAGTGGATGGTCCCCACCATCCAGAACTCCATGAAGCCCTTTAAGGTGAGCGGCTCGGGCCCTCCTGGGGCCGGGCGGTGGGGGTCCGGCCACGGCCAGCTGGCTGACTTCTGTCTCCGCCACAGGACATGGACTACTCCCGCATCATCGAGCGCCTCCTGAAGCTGGCGGTGAGCGGGCGAGGCGGGAGCACGGGTGAGTGGGGGGCGTTCCGGAACCGACAACTCCCCTCCACACAGGTCCCCAATCACTTCATCTGGCTCATCTTCTTCTACTGGCTGTTCCATTCCTGCCTGAACGCCGTGGCCGAGCTTCTGCGGTTTGGAGACCGGGAGTTCTACCGGGACTGGTGGTGGGTGGCCTTGGCATGGCCTCGGGCTGGGGACTGGTGTGGTCACGTGTGCGCGGGGCACGGCCGGGTGTGCGCGGGGCACTCCTGTTCTCTCATCCGCAGGAACTCGGAGTCGGTCAGCTACTTCTGGCAGAACTGGAACATTCCTGTCCACAAGTGGTGCCAGAGGTGGGCGGGGTGTGTGCACGCGTGTGTGTATGTGGTGTGTGTACATGGGTGTGCTCATGACCAGGCACGTGTGTGCACACATGCTGGGGTGTGAACACTTCTGTGTGGTGTATATACATATGTGTAGTGTGGACGTAGGCTGCCGTCCCACTGTGGCCGCTTCCCTCCGCAGACACTTCTACAAGCCCATGCTTCGGAGGGGCGCCAGCAGGTGGATGGCCAGGACAGGGGTGTTCCTAGCCTCGGCTTTCTTCCACGAGGTCAGTGCAGGCCGGCAGCCTCCATCTGTGGCTGCGGGGTGTGCCCCCGGGGTGGGGGTGATGCCCGCTGACGCGCTTCCCCCCTCCCACCGCAGTACCTGGTGAGCATCCCCCTGCGCATGTTCCGTCTCTGGGCGTTCACAGGCATGATGGCTCAGGTGAGCGCCCCGTCCCCCTCCTCCCGCCCACCCTCCATTCCCTGGGTCCAGTGGAAGTCTGACTTTGTCCCACCTGCTCCCAGATCCCGCTGGCCTGGATCACTAGCCGCTTCCTCCAGGGCAACTACGGCAACGCAGCCGTATGGCTGACGCTCATCATCGGACAGCCGGTGGCGGTGCTCATGTACGTCCACGACTACTACGTGCTTCACCACGAGGCCGCGACCACGGGCCCCTGAGCTTCACGGCCGCCCCGCTCCCACTCACTGCCCACCGCCCAGAGCCTGCCTTCTTGCCGGGGTGAGGATGGGGGTTTGCCAAGAGCCAGAGGGGCGACTCCCCGCAGGCCTGCCACCTCCCTCCCTGCCCTGGGAGGCCTCTCTGCCCCTATGGGGCCCCTTCCCCTCAGGGATCGGACTGTAGCAAGGGGCGGGCGGGGTGGGGTCGCCGCCCTGCAGTTTGTACAGATTCTGCCCGCAGGGCCGAGTGTGTCAATAAAGTGCTGTCCAGTCCAGAGTGACTCCCTTGCCTGCTGGGGACAAGCTGCGGGAGGCGGGGCCTGGGGCACCTGCCTGGTGGGTCAGGAGTGAGGGCCGGCGGCCTTGCCCTCCTTTCTGCCGCCCCGCGGCCACGGAGCTCTCCGGAGCGCTTGGGCTCCGCGGTTCTCCTCCCTCCCCGGCCGCTCCTGCGCGGTGCTGCGTGGCCGAACCGCTGCAGGGAGCACGCAGCGCGGCCAGCAGGGGGCGACACAGCCCGCCCTGCATCGGGCCGGCTTCACACCGGCGCTGCCCCTGCTGGTCCCCCGTGGGACGGGGTTGGTCCTGGGCACTCCGCCGGGGAAGCCCGGAACAAAGGCTTGGTGGGCTTCCCGGAAGTGGGCCTGTGGTTTGGGGGCGATGCGGGGCTGGGGGCTGGGACAAACACAGAAACTCTCCATGGCTCTCTCCCAATTCAGTGTCTGTCTGATGGGCAGGGACTCCCCAGAATTAAAAGACTGATCTCCACACGGGGGCCGGACTGCCAGTGACCCTCACCTCGGGGCAGATAGTGCCTTCACCCCAGACACCCAGGGTGTTCCCGGGATGGAGCTCGCCCCCGGCCTCCAGCAGCAGGCTCTCTGCCTTCCTGCCCTGTGTTGGCAGAGTGGCCCTCAGGCCTTGCTCCCCACCAAGTCAGACGTGAGGCTGCCACCTTGGTGGTGGAAGGCGGTGGGGACAGCCTTGGCCCCAGGTGCCCTGACCCTTCAACTGTGGCCGGACAAGGCTCAAGGGAGGGCTGAGTGCATGCAGGTGGCAGACGGCAGGTGGCCTGCGGACTCGGCTGCCCCAGCCCCATCCTGCACCTGCGTGACCCCAGGGTCATCTCTGCTCTGGACTGTTGAGGTGACGACCACCTCCCACTCTGTTCTGGCCACACTCCTTGGGGCTGGCACCAAGTCCTCTCTCTGCCCCACAGCAGAGGCTGGCCTGCTGATCCCGGGGGCTCTCTGGGCAGCCACCACCTCAGGCTATGTCAGAAGGGGCAGTATGGGGGGTGAACTCTTGGGTGCCCTCAGGGCAGAGTGACATCAGGGCCTGGAGGGAAGGGCAGGGCAGCACCTCAGCCAACCTGTTGGTGGGGTCAAGCCCTGGCCACCCCCCTTCTGCTTGCTCTGCTGGAGTGGACTCCCAAGGACTCCTGGGGCCAGGCCACTGCCCTCTCCCTGGAGCCTACCCTGAGCCTGCAATAAAGACCGTGGGCAAACACTACTACCCTGGCTATCTGGGGCTCCCCCCGGGGCAACTGAAGCCCGGCCTCCAGGCCCCTCCCGTGCCGACCCTCCTCACCGCACCCACATCCCACCTCCCCACCCTGGGGTGGGAGGAAGCACACAGACAACGGACGCCTCAAGCGTAGGGCACGTTGTTTACAGATCTCTGTCCGTGTGTGTGTCTGCAAATCTCTACGGAAGGGAGTGGGACTTCTCGGTAAAAATCCAAAATATGACTCTGACTATTAACAACGGCAGGGCCAGTCCAAAGTGCGCCTGTGAAGCCCCCACTAGACCGGGGGCTCACAGGGCTGGAAGTGAAGGCACCGAGCTGGGCAGGCCCCCGGGACCGCGTCACCCCTGACCCAGGCGGGGCTGCGACTCGGCCACCTCCAGTCAGCCCCTCCAGCTCCTCTTCCTGCCCCAGGACCCTGGACCTCGCCCCTCGGTCAGCCCTGAGCTGGGGGGAGGGTGGGCGGCCCCACCTGGCTCCTCCTGGGGCCTCTAGGAGATGGTGGGGTCCTTGGCTTTGGGGGTCTCAGAGCCCGTCAGCAGGGAAATGGTGGGGTCCTCCGCGTAGTCATCCCCCTCAGAGAAGTAGGAGCCCTCCCCCAGCTCGAAGAGCACGGGCAAGTCGCTGCCCCCCACGTCCACCGGTCCAGGGTCCACCAGGAACAGGGGCTGCGCCGTGTAGTGCACCAGCTGCTTCCCTGGGGGGGGGAGGGGGGGCGTGGGTCAGGGTGGGGACAGGGCGGGCGGCTGGGCTGGGCTGGGGACGGGGCAGGGGCTGTGGGTCAGGGTGGGGCCGGCACGAGGCGGCGAGGGGATCCACTCACCTGAATCCAGGCCGCTATCCTCTGCCTCGAGAGACCTTGGCGGCTCCTGGGGGGATAGGAGCTCCTGGATCTGCCAGCCGCAGGGAGGGGGCAAGTGAGGGCTCTTGCTGCCCTGCCCCTCACTCACTCCCCCCTGCTTCCCCACCCCTCCCCCACCCCTGCCCCCACACACGCTGGCCAGGCTGCTGTCCAGGTCTGGCAGGCTCATGTCCGGCACGGTCACCGAGGGGTTGAACAGCTGCAGGAGAAGGACGGTTCGTTAGGG